TCGAAAAACCAAACCAAACCAAAAAAAAAAAAAAAAAAAAAAAAATTGGTGAACTGAGCGCAGAAATGGATTTGCCGCCCTGAATACTGGAGAGATCTGTGTGGCGAGATATACAGATATTCAGTGTTGTGGGTTATAGTTAACTCCAGGACCATTAGGGTAGACAGTCCAATAGAGATTCTTCTCCCATAGGTAGTGTCTGCTTCTTCTTCAGATTAAACATCAATAAAAAATACACTCATAAACTTCCCCAGAAGAACAAGGCATGTCATTTGTTAAGGCCATGCAAGAGGGTGATATGGAAACCAAGATGACAATGCCATTGTTGTAGGCCTTGGGTTCAGTTCTGATCCAAACCCTGTGCTTTGGGGACTGCCTCTGGCCATCCTGTCTAGGAAACTCTGTTAGATGCAAATTCATCTACTCTCTGCAAGGATCTCCTTGCCCCTGGCCTCTGCTGCCTGCATTAATAAGACGTCAAAGCAAATATTCAGCCCACACTCAAATAGAACCAAATGTAACTGATTTCTTTCCCACAGAAAAGCCATGTAAATTCATAGAGAGAAAATCAGAGAACCCTAACAAGATGTTGGGTTTCTCAAAGATAGACATGCCTCGTGAACAGATGAACAAGCTTGAGAATAAATGGGGAAAGGGACTATAAAAATCAAAAAGATCTGAAAAATGATGATTTAGAACCTCTGGCACATATTGAACATACACACACACTAAAATTAAAATGTCAGTGGGCAGGCTTGAGGACAAGCCGGAGAGACCGATGGGATTCACCTTCACTGCCGGCCTGTCACATTCCATGCCGAGCTCTCGCTGAATCTGGGCGCATCCTAACCCTCCCAGGGGTACCAGAGCGGCCACCGAGGAAGGGCGGTAGCAGGTCGTTGACGGGAGACCGCGTAGGAGGAAAGAGAGAGGAAGAAGAGAACAGACGGTGAGACGGGGAGTGAGCGTGGAGTGGCAGGAACGGGGATGGGAAGGAGTCTCCCTGCCATGGGGGAACAGAAGACACCACTAAGCAAAGAATACGGTACAGAAAAAAAATTAAAAGAACACACTGTTATCTTGTTCGCTTTCTCGGATTCTAAATGTGGATGTCTGCAGATGAGCCAACAGTTTCCCACCCTGAAGTTATGAGACAGAGCATTTCCCGATTGCGGCGCCAATGGGAGAAGGGAATCTCCAAACACACTGGTTCCTGGGCTTGCCTTAATAAAGGACCTCAAAACAGTGGATGTTGTCTGCATGCTGGGGCAGGTAAACGTAGGGAATAGTGTACCCAACTGGAGCTCCCCTTGGTGTGGGCTATGCTTGCTGCCCCACAGTTGGCAGCCTGAGACCATTAACTGCATGACTGCCCACACACACTCCATCTCTACACAAAGCAACTAACAACCTGTTAGCAACCTACGACCCCCGTTTGCACATAGCTGCAGACATACCCATCTCTGAACAATTGGTTGAGTTTCTCCTGTCTTTAATAGCCACCAAACTTAGACTCTATTCAGTCTTACTCCACCTATGTCCAGGTACAAGGGTAGGGAGAATCTTTGAGTACATGTGCAATAAAGTCAACTGAGTCTCAACGTTTATGGAGAATATCCTATTTACCATGTTGGTAGAAAAGAAGATACCTTGGTCTTTCAATCAAGTTAAAGAACCACCAACAAACAAACTCTATCTCTTGAATACCGTAAAAGGAAGCCCACAAAAGTACTCAGGCCTATGAGCACCTTCACTCATGTGACCTACTGTTGGTCTTGATAGTACATGCCTTTCTAATCTATGCTATCACTTTGTTTTGAATAAAAATTCCCATGACACTTGGCAAAGCCATGTGAATTTATTTCAGTCTTGAATAGGAAGCCAAGAATCTGTCAGCACCTGGCTCAAACCCTGACCACTGGGTACCAGGGGCCCTGCACGTCTGAATCTCCGGGGGAGAATCCTGAATCTGTTCTGATGGTTGCCATAAGTCCTTGGAGGCACCATGACATCTTTTCCCACGTTGTTACTTTCTCTCCTGTGCTCATCGTTCTTAGTACTGAGACAGTCCTATCATTAAAGACACCCATTACAATGAACTATGACCCAATATAACAAGAGACCCTATTTCCAAGTAAATTCACATACTGGGTTCCTACAGGTATGGATTTCAATACAAGTAGTTTTGGAGACTCAAAAACTCAGTTGCTATTTAACCACACCAGGAACTTTGATAGAAATTTAATTAAAGGAATATATAGAAACCTAAAAATAAAAATATAAACATAATGTCAGATTATGACAGCGTGTTGCTCAGACTTTCCACTGCTGTGACAAAGCTGGCTGGAAACAACACTGAAGGCAGATGAGTAGGTACCAGCTTCAGCTTTAGAGCGTTCAGCCCTTGATAGGAAGGCTGTGGCCGAGTGCAGTGGCTCACTTCACAATGGTCAGGAGCAAAGAGGAGGAAAGCTTGTGCTATTAAATGTAAATGTAAAAATTATATATATTTAAATGTAAAAAACACTATATTTTTAATTATTCTACCTATTATTGGGTTAGTGCCTTTTAATTCATATCAGAAGTCAAATGGTTTGAAATATTTTCTGATTATATAGAGATGGAGACTGGCCTTTTCTAGCAAAAGAAAAAAAATACAAAAAATAGGATCCCCTTGCCAGGATGACAGGTCACCTCAAAGACCACTACGTCAGGATAGCCAATCACTGGAAAATAATACTTCCGTATGTGTCTTTAAAGATTCCTCTGGGAAAGCTTCACATTCGAGGAAAATAGCTCTGCCTTCACCAAAATGGGTGGACGTCAGGCACCCACTGAGGATGCTTAGCTCAAGCATGCCCTCCTTCCCCCAGGGCCACTCCATCACCTTTTCCTGCCGTGGAGCATGGCCTCTCCTTGTCCTCAGGCGTTTGTATTCCAGATGGATTATTCTAGTAGTTTTCTTGGGTCCCCAGCTTGGACTCAGCCCTCCAGTGCCTCATTCTTGTAGCTGTGCCAACCAATTCCTGTAATCTCCTCACATGTACATTCCACGTTGGCCACGTTTCTACCCTGGCACTGATGGGGTTCTGAGGTTCTTTTTTCAAATAAGACCTATGCAGCAGTTTAAGAAGTCGGTGATTTTAAGGATGTTTAAGCTAACAGTGGTAAAAGAAGATTTTTTTTGTTGTTGTTTTTTTTTGAGACAGGGTTTCTCTGTGTAGCTTTGCACCTTTCCTGGGACTCACTTGGTAGTCCAGGCTGGCCTCGAACTCACAGAGATCCACCTGGCTCTGCCTCCCGAGTGCTGGGATTAAAGGCGTGTGCCACCACCGCCCGACTGAAGATTTTTAACTAAGTGCTGAGTGCCATTGGAATGTGGGCAACAATATTGTTCAACAACCAATGGGAATTAAACACAATACAAAAGGTAGAGTTTCCATGCCAGAGAATACTTCTGAGTATATTATCAAGAATATAGAAAAGGACTGGAGAGATTGGTCAGCGGTTCAGAGGACTGGCTGCTCTTTCAGAGGTAACAAGGTCTGTTCCCAGCAGCCACATCAGGCAGCTCACATACACCTGTAACAGGTCTAGGAGATCTGGAGCCCTCTTCTGGCTTCTGCAGGTGACTGTACCTAGGTGCACACACTCCGACACACCGATGCACGCAAGTGCATATAATTAGAAAGGAATAAATGGACTACAGATGAAAAGTCACATGAGCCACTGAAAATGTTTGAAGGGTGGATTAGACAAAGAGCACTTGAAACCCCAGAACTGAAGAGGCCATGGGAAAAGTCGAGGCTTTGCACCATGAGGAGAACTCAGAAGAGTTTACGTTTGAAAGTGCAGCCCAATTGCAACAGAAGACCCCAGTTCTGGAGATGCCAGGACCATGGGGTGACCACCAAGAATAGCAACAGCTGTGGAGTGGAAGCAGTTGGAGTCTAGAAGACAAGCTGTGTGTGCTGCAGAGGGCAGGGCTGGAGAAGAGACTCGAGCCCTTTGAAGGAGCTCAGAAGATGGTGAGTGAATCCCAGACAATTGGACATTGACTTTTTTACACTGTTGGAGTTTGGGTTTGCTTTCATCAGATTGTGACTGTGCCCTGGCTCTTCCCTCTTGAAGTAAGAAAGTGTTTAACTTAATTTTGATTTTTATAAGAACTCACAGTTGAGAGATTTTGAACTTTTAAAAAAGATTTTGGGTTTTTAAAGAGACTGGGTCTTTTTTTTTTTTTTTAAACAGAAACTGACTTCCTTCAGCGATGAGCTTCAATGTGGAAGTATAAGGCAAATAAACCCTTTTCTCCCCAAGTTGCTCTTGGTCATGTTGTTTCATCACAGCAATGGTCACCCTGACTAGAATAGACAAGGCTATTCATTATTTTCAGGAATTTGGGGATTACACATAACAGAAGCTTTAAGAGTCTCGCACGTCTCTGATGAGCGTGGAGTTGATGCTGATCATATTTCCTACTCAGCAATTTGGATGTAATGCTCTTCTATGAAAAGTTAAGCAACTCAAGAAGTGCTCACTACTTTGTAAATACCCTGCTGATTTTTAACTCCTTAAGAAGGGACCAGTGTAAGGGCCCGATTGCTATGAAAGGGAATCATTTCTGTGTTCAGTCTCCAGCCTTTGCAAGTTTTATTATTCTTAAAAAAATAGGAGATGATAGTATTTTTCTCATCATGAAACCCATTTGCAGGGAGATGATTCAGCGGGTAAAGCACTTGTCACGTAAGAATAAAGACCTGAGTTCATATTCCCCACATCCACACAAAATGCCAGGCAGAGACCAAGTGACTGTAACCTCAATGCTAGGAATCAAATACAGGAGGATCCTGGGGCTCTCTGGCCAGCCAAGATAGCCAATCAGTAAGCTCCAGGCCAGTAGAAAGAGGGTCTTTCATTATATTAGGTCATAATTCACTGTAACAAATGCCTTTAAGAATAGGGAACATTGTGACACCAAGACAGATGAGTACCTGGGAGAGGCCGACAACATGGGAAAAGCATGTCATGTTACCCTCAAGGACCTCAGGCAACAGAGGAATTTGAAGAAGCAGGGTTCTTCCATGAGTCTCAGATGTGCAGTTGCCATGGTATCCAATGGTCGGGTCTAGGCACGGTGCTGAAGGTTCTTGGCAAATAATGAGGTGAAGAGTGATAAAGACATTGCGGTGGTTTGAATGAGAATGACCCCCATAGACTCGTATGTTTGGTTGCTTGGTCATCAGGGAGTGGTACTGTTTGAGGACTAAGGGGTGTGGCCTTGTTGAAGTAGGTGTGGCTTGTTGGAGGAAGTGTGTCACTGGGGGTGGTCTTTCAGGTTTCAAAACCCATGCTATGTCCAGTCTCTCTCTCTCTCTCTCTCTCTCTCTCTCTCTCTCTCTCTCTCTCTCTCTCTCTCTCTCTCTCTCCCCCTCTCCCCCCCTTTTTTTTTTCTTCTCCCCCCTCTCCCTCCCTCTCCTCTTCTCTTCCTGTTGATAAGAATGTAGCTCTCAACTACTTTTCATCACCATTCCTGCCTGCATGTTGTCATGATGGCAATGGGCTAGCTCTGAAACTGTAAACAAGCCCACAATTAAATGTGTTCTAAGAGTTGCCTTGGTCATAGTGCTCTTCACAGCAATAGAGAGGTGACTAAGACAGACACTGAATATTAACCCTTCACACACACACACACACACACACACACACACACACACACACACACACACACACACACACACTTTCCTTCTTATATTCTACCATCTCTTTCCCTTCAGTTCTACTTCATTCTGTCATATATCAAGTATTTTTCCATCTTTACAACTTGGTCTGCTCATCCTTTTGTTCTGCCCTCCCCTTCACAATTAGTCCACAAATACGTTCAGGGTCTAATCCCCAAGACCTCTCTTCACAGGGTCCTGCTTATCTTTTGCTGTCTGCTTTCAACTTTGCTAACATTTCCCACGTAGCATCTCTGTTTTGCATTTGCTCCCATTTAGTGATATGAACATTTTTTTTTCTTCCTGAGGACATCGAGAAGCTACATTGTTCACAGAAACTCCACTTCAAAAACACACATTTCCCATCTTCTCTTGGCATATGCTCTCATTGCTTTTTGTGGCAATATTTTTCCATATATCCCAGTTGGATTTTTCTCTGTTTACTCAACAACACAAAAAGACATCTATTTTGATTGCTAAGTCTTCTCCCCTCTCCCTAGAGCATCTTTTCAGGCAATACCAGCATGCTATGGAGAGAAAAGCAGAGCCAAAATGATACACAAATATTTTGACTTGTTCACAGTGGCCTGCTGGGACCATTCAGCAAGACTGGTGCTCAAAATGGTCTTGAAAAATCTCCATGTTCAACAAAGTCTATGCCTGTTTATCTGCTTACACACATACACATCGTTTCTCCACTAAGTCAGGCCTTTTCCTCTGCCTGAACCCTCTGTAACTGTACCTCAGTTATGCCCTTCCTTGTGGATGCAGAACTGTATAAACACAAGGGCTTATTCACTTACATCATTGTATCATTTTCATATCTCCAAGTGGCTCACTGGGAGAATCTTTTCATACATATCTAATGACTCTGTATATTCTATTTTTACAAAGCACAGTGTGTATTGTAATTGCAAACATATAAGACCAAATGGTGTGTCTCTCACAAACTTATGTCTTGTTTTGTATTTCAACAAAATGTGCAGTATTACCAATACCCCTGAAGGGAAGTTGTGCATGTGGAAAACTGTATGTGTAGATATCCATGAGCATTTGGCAAGTGGATAAAACCTTATGAGATATGAAGAAATCCCTTTGGATAAACTAAATTATTAGTTGAAAAGGCAGGCAAAATGCTTGAATGAAAAAATTTTAATTTGAGAAATATATTGGAAGAAGTATAAAATAAAAATTGCAATTTTCCTAAGTTAAAATGGAATGTGTGTTATGTGACTGGACCATAAGAGATACAGGGTTTGTCAGCTCATTGTCATATCCACCAAGAAGACCCTTTGGCAATGACAGAAATGGGATTATCACACAAACACCAACATTATCACCACCAGAGTCCTCATCAGCATCACCATAATCAGCATCATTGTCACCATTACCATCATCAACACAATGGCCATCAATATCGTCATCAACATCACAATCTCACCATAACCAATACCATTGCCACCATTAGAATCACCATCACCAGCTCATCATTGCCATTATTATCATCATCATTACCATAAACACCATCATTATCTTGTTTCCCTTGAAATGTTTGGTTTTTAAAATGTCTTGTATTGTTTTTTCTGTGAAATTTTCCTCCAAGCCCTTGGTGTGGTGATACTCACTTGCAATTCTAACACTCAAGAAGTTGAAGCAGAGCATTACAAGTTCAAGCCTATTGAGGACTACAGAGCAAGAAGCCCTGCTCTGAAAAACCTAACAATGATGACGATGGAGATGATAGTGGTGATGATGGTGATGATGAAGATAGGTAACGAATACTGTCACAGATTTTTTTTAAATGTGACCTTGGTGATTGACTTATGTTCTTCTGATAACTTTCCTACTAGAACAATAGAAGAACATATCAAAGAGAAGCTGTAGTGTGGTTTTATTTTCCATCTCTGAGTGGCAAGGAGCTACAGAAATATGGAATGTGGTGACTCTAAGACCACCTGGTGCCAGGCTCAGGACTTCATCATTTTCCTTCTGTCAAGGATTTAATTTCACTTTAGCACTTGAAACTATCAGAGGTTTGTGAGGAGAGGTGTGCCCTTGTAAATCTGCTCCAAGGACATATGATTCAAACACGGGAAGAAATGACTATGGCTTTGAATACAGTTTTGGCATGGCTTTGAATACAGTTTTGGTGAGGTATGCAAACCCAGCAGACTATTTTCTGTGTTTATCCAACAGAAAGCCTGCTCAACTGACAGATCACACACAAGACATAAAGACTTGTCAGTATGGTTTCAGGATTTTCCTGGATTCAAGAAAGGAATGCAGCAGACTGGAAGACATGATGCTAAGTAGGGTATACCATGTATGAAAGGTGAGTACCACATCCACTGTCACTGTGGAAGATTCAACAAAGACTAGAAAGTGCAATCCTCATTCCTAGGAATAAAGAAAGATGTTGGGGAATGGTTGTATTTGATCATATGCTAAATGCATATATGGATGTATAACATGGAGCTCCATTAATATGTACAATTAATTCAAGTTAATCTAAATAAAACCATTTTTAAAATATTGGTGATATTTATTGAGATGGTGATCACACAAAGAGCAAATCTGAAAAGGAAAATCAAAATGTGTGAGGCTTTAGAGGTGTTGTTTGTTTGTTGGTTGGTTGGTTGGTTGGTTAGTTGGTTGATTTATTGGTTGATGTGATGTGGGTTTTTTGAGACAGTGTCTAATACCGAAGCCTAGATTACTCTGTACCTCAAAGTGTAGTCCAGGCTAGCCTCAACTTCATGGGAATTTGCCTGCTTCTCCCTCTAGAACTGTAATTCTTCAAGCACTTTTGGGTCCATGTTACCTACTTACTGTAATATTCATAAAAGGACCTTACACAGACAATTAGATACAGTGTCAGTGATTTAGAAGCGTGGTCTAGACTAGAGACCCACATCTAGGTATCATCAACATAGAGGAGGAATTTATAACTCTGTGGCTAGAGATGACCACAAACACTAGCATGGTAAGGAAGAAAGAGAGCCTGAACATTTAGTCCTTAGACTTTGAATGAAGGACACAGATGATGAAAGACCCCAAGAGACTGCTCCCCCGAAAGCCAGATGAAGAAAGACTTGTAAGAAGTGACTAGCTGCCCTAGAATGATGAGTGGTTGAAGAGGAGGAGGAGGAGAAGGAGAAATCCATAACTGGTCTTGGTGTCTGTAACATCAGTCATAATGTCATAACTCTGGGTAGATCTTTAGAAATAATAGCACTGTAGCATGGGAACTGGAGACATGTGCAGAAGTCTCTTCTATCTAATGGCACTGATGACTAGGAGCTTATAATGGATCCATAGCTAATAAAGGGGCTGCAGAGTGAATTTTATGTAATGAGGGGTACAAATAAAAGACTTTTAGAAACATAAATGCCAAACCTTAAGGTATGGACATTGGCATATAGACATGTAAGTTTCTAGAAAAATTATGATATAGTTTTTTTTTTTTTTTGGCATCAACTAAAAACCAAAGCTGGGGGAAAAGTGTAAGAAAGGCCAGTAAAATTGCATTAAATAGCCAACAGAACGTCTACCATCTGTGGCTGTCTGTTGGATCACGTGAAGACCCAGTGACTTTCAAAAGAAAGGTTGATAACTGTTGCTCTCGCTAACATGCTATGAGCTAGGGATGGTTGGCTACAGAGAAGATCTGTGTTCAGTATGACTCACTCACAGGTGAGGGAGCAGCTGTCTGTGTGGTTGGTGAGTCAAGATCCCAGCCAGGGGTGTGGGCTGCAGGCTTCAGCTCCTCTCCATGTGGCTGCTCCATAGGTTGTACGGGGCTTGTCAAACTGCGAGGTCTGGATGCTGAGTTCAAGCTCGTGGACCCTGTGTTACCTTGTCAGTTAACCTTCACATCACAAGGAGTCAGGTTATCAGCAGTCCGTGGGACTCAGCCAGTTTCAAGGTCTCCTAGCTCTGCATGGAAATGTATTGTCCTGGTTAGCTTTAACTACCAACTAGCCACAACCTAGAGTCACCAGAGAAGTGAAATCAGTCGTGGAGTTGGTTAGATCAGATTGGCCTATGGCATGTGTGGGCAGGATTGTCTTTAATTGACAGAGGAGTGGGAAGCACACTGCAGGCAGCACTATTCTTGAGGCAGATGCTCCTGAATTTCAGGAGAATGCTAACTGAGGCTATGTCGGCCTGCCACCAAGCGAGCAAACAGCATCCTCCATCACCGCTACCACGGTTCGGCTGTGAGGTAAGCCCCTCTGTCAGAGGTGATGCTGTCTGGAATAACAGGCAGGCTTACCCCAAGTTCCTGCCTTGACTTCCCTAACGATGAGCTGATGACGGAAACTGTAAGCCAAATAAGCCCTTGCATCCACGGAGTTCCTTTAGGTCAGGATATTCATCATAGGAACAGGGGTGGACTAAACAAGGCAAAATGCTCCAGATCATACGTGTGCGATGAGTTTGTCACACGATATTGCCTGGAAGAGTGGCTCACCTAGACGGCATGTGACCACCAAATGGTCTGAACTCCACTGCGATTAATCATAGGGTGTTTAAAGGACTTTCATGTAAGCGTGTATTTTGCTACCCACACTGGAAAATAAGATTCTTGTTTGTTCTAGATACCCACAGAAAATTCACGTAGGCTTCAGATTTTCCTGTGCGTTCCTCTTTCCCTCTCAGCCTGTTGGCTACCAGGTAGAGAGGGCAAGGGGCAGTAGCAGCGACAGAAAGCTTTGTATGTGGCCCATGAGCATGAATGGAGACAGCCCTCTGGGATACAGACTTCTGTGAATCAGCTCAACTTTATTCCAGAGTATAAGGAGTATATAGGACTGGGGAGCCTGGGTACAAACCCTAATTTGCATTAAGGGGCACCTTTCTATCAAAAGACTTTGTATGTGGCAGTGGGGTCCTATGAAAATGGCTAGAGCACTTGCCTAATTACCATGTGGGTCATCAGCAGAAGAGCATTTGCAGGTAACTGCGACTATGTCGAGGCTCACCCTTGAAATAAGTCAGGCATCCTGGGCCTAGAGACAGCCTCCAGATAAGGCTGGGTAGAGAGCGGGAAGCTTTGCTGGGGAGGGAAGGAATTTCTATATTGCCAAGCTTACAGAAAGCTTCCAGGCTATGGTAGACTGTGACTTCTACCAGCTAGCAATGTCTATTGAGAACTGCTGGTAGCAAAAGACCATGGTAGTATACAGCAGGTGACAACTAGAGTCCAGAAGGTCAACCTATCAGAACTAAGGGTTCTGTTAGAGGAAACCATCAGGCAAGGCGTTATGGAATTACTGCCTTTTGAATAAACTGGCTGTCTCTTGTAAACTTCTTATGCAATAACAACTATAATTCTCCCCATTTACCATGCATTTCCGTATTATGTGTACATGTACTCTCATGATTGCACCTCAATCTTGGGCACGACTTTCCCTATACATTTGGGGTGATTGGACAACTGTCCCCAACTGTGTTTATTTTTTCATTAACATAAATCTGGCCAGGGCCATTCTCCGGACAAAAGTATTTCAACAAAGATACCTTTTTATCCAAGGACAAATGCAGATAGATAAACATTAGCTCATCTTATCCACAGACAGGGAAAATAACCACTAACAATTAAATCCTCAACTCTTTACCTTCATCCTGGTTTATTTACACAAGATCCTAATTTAAAAGATTTACTGCTCACATTTCTGGGATGATGTTTTAACCACTTGCTAGTTACTGAGTTAAAGTAGTTATTTCCCACTGACATATATAGACTCCTAACATTTTACCTAACCACTTCTAGACTATAGTCTGAGCACATAAATTACTTTTTAGAATTCTCTAATTGATCTTAGCCTTTAGTTGAACCTACCAGAAAACTCCCCTTTGGGGTTGTAATTGGAAGCTGACAATTATTGCTTTATGTGTAGATCCTTATCACCTCTCTCTGTGACCCTGAAAACTTCAAGCATTGCATTGCTTTGCCAAAGAATTACTGCTTGTGTATATATACCAGTTCCCCCTCCACAGAAGGTAATTGATTTAGAAGAACAAAGATGAGGACAAGGTGGAAAGAACTAGGTAGAATGATGAGAGAACAGCAGAAGGGACTGAGAGGAGCTAAGTATGAGAACAGAAAAGAAGCTGTGTAGATAGAATTTGCCATAGAAGAATAAAGTAAATGGACTAAGGAATTCAGTGTGCTCAGATTAGTTTAATATCCCTCGGATTAGAATCCTCAGTTAGGTGTTAGAATCTTCCATTGACCCTCGGAGAAAGCAATTAGGGCTGGACCTTTATTGTTTTCGGTTAATGTCTTCCAACATTTTCCCAGGAAAATAATTAGTTAGAAAAGATGTTTGTGGAAGTGTACAGAGCATCCAAGGTCAGAAAGTGAGGAAGGCAGTGTGGGGAAAGGATGAGGGACTGGCATAAAAGACTATAAGCCATGGATCATAGCTCTCAAGGATACAATAAAAACCTGTTAGACACAGTCCTCGGGGGAGGACTTGTCCTGGAGGAGGTGGGAATTGAGGGTGGGCTGGGGGTAAGGGGAGGGGGTGGGAGGGGGGAGAATAGGGGAACCCATGGCTGATATGTAGAAAGAACTGAATGGTATTGTAAAATAAAAAATATATATCACACACAAAAAAAAACCTGTTGGAATTAAGAGATTAAAGTTAACTAGCAGCGCAGATTTGAAAGTGAGATGATTTGACATGGAAATATTAAATGATACCTATTATCTAGGCGCACAAGAAACATGTGTAGCAATGTCAAGTGCTACAAAAGCACAGCCTGGCTTGGCACCTGATACAAAGTCCAGCCTTGCATCCAGTGTTAACCCCTCTCTCTCCCAGTTCCAAGGGACAAAGGATAAGCCACACTCACCATCTCCTCTTTCAAGCTAGGAAAAGAAGCAGCATGGCTGATCATGTCATTTACAGCTGACTCTGTGGAGACTGATTCTCAGCAAGCCATACTTTTTAATTATGTGTAATTAACTTGTTAACATTGTTTTTGTGCTAGATATTAAACCCAGGCCATTATGTATGATAAGCATGTTCTCTGCCACTACATCCCCAGACTTTCAATACAGAATTTTGGTGGCATCATATCATGTGTACATTCTACAACATTAAGTGATAGTCCTGTGATTTAGGCTATTTATTAGACTACCCCAGGGCCAAAAATTCACTAACTCTCAGTGTGTAAGTGTGTGTATGTATGTGTGTGTGTAAAGCTCATTAACTCTAATGGTTTTATATATGTAATTAACATCTAATGCATATGTATATGATATACACACATACATTGGAATATACATATATATATAATTTATTAGCTCCCAATATTTTATATACATAAAATTCAATAGTTCTCGATGTTCTTATATATATTTCTTATATGTCCTAGATGGAACCCTATAGATAACTACATACCTGTTTTTGCATGTACATGACTGTTTGCATTGATAGATGTACTTCTATGCACCAAAATCTATGTGCTTATCTGCACATGCTGGAACACTTGCACGGAGAGCCTCCATGAGGTCTA